CAGCAGTGCCACAGGCTGATAGCTTCCATGCCATGCCGCATTGAGGCAGTAATTGCTGCAAAAGGGGCCCAAACCAAGTACTGAGTACATATGCATGCTTATACTTTTCAGAGGTCCGATATTGTTCTATGTACAATCCTTGTTTTATTGATTGCATGTAATATTCTAATTTTCTGAGATTGTGGATTTGGGGTTTTCAAGAGCTGTAAGCCATAATCATCACAGTTATGACACATCACGGCTTGAACTATCTTGCTTTGCATGTAATGAGTCTATCTCATATATTAGGTTCACCTTTTAAGTTGCATTACTGAAATAAATGAACTTTTGCACGATATTCTAATTTTTCGAGTTTCACCTGTATATAAAGCATCTGATCAAGCAATTAACTACAAAATAATGATTACAAAATAACACTATAAGTATCAATATAAAATGGTTGCTATATACAGTATAAAATAAATGCTAATGTCAAACTTAAACATACTAAAATCATAAGCACAATAAAATCCCTTCACACTCTTTAGGTGATAATGCCTTCTCAAATGGTGAAAATTTTTCCCAGCTTCTGGTGAAAAGATGGCCAACTGACAACATGCCCAGGGAAGGATCCCTGGGGCTTTTTTTTCTGGAATGTAACTTCTTCAACTTATCAACAGAAGGAACTAGCATTCCTTTAGTTTATATGACTCTCCTGGGTTAGGAATAAATTCACCCCACAAGATCCTCCGATACAGCAACAGATCTGCAAGTAGCTTCAGGAGCTGTGCTTCGAAGTAACCTGCATGCCAGTAATTTAGGGGAGAGGCAGTTTGTTGTTGAAGAAGCAGCCATTTTGCAATTTATTTTTCAAAAGGACAGTAAGTTGTGCCTTTCATTTCTTAATCATTTTTTAGGACTATTAATGTTTATTAAGCTAAAAGAGGCTCTCTCTAGCCACAGCCTCTTATTCCTTTTTGAAGATCTGCACCATTTGGGGAATTTCTTGTTAAATAACAAGGAAGAAGGCTGCTAAGGCAAGCTAAAATAAGGAAGTGTGGACTCTGTTTTTAAAAAAATGATGGAGAAATATAAGGGCAGAAAGTTATGGTTCTAGTTTATTATTAGTAATTTGTAGCTTGGTCTGCTTTGCTGTGGGAGCCTAAAACTTTCCAATTTTTATGATTCCTGATTGGTCAGCAATTCTTAAGTGACTTACAAAAAAGCTACTCTTTCACTAAAGAGGGAGTTAAAAAGACGGAGGAGCAAATTATTAGAGATGTACTTGAAAAATCTTTAAATAAACCCCGCAGTTCATAGATCAGCTATGTTCCAAGGATGTTGAAAAAACTATTCAAAGTACTTAAGAGATGCAAATATGTGTAGAAAATTACCAAACCACTCAGGCAATTTCACAAGTAGCTGACAGTGCAGAGGAGTCAATTGTAATTTTGGAATATAAACCTGACACTAATTTTTATTACGATGGTTTAAATATAAATTTCCCAAGCCAATTGAAAGAAGAGTGATTTTACATGTTTCCTGCAGCCCGCTGATGAGGCTTCGCTTGTTTGAGATTGCCAGTTGCTGGCATACCACAGACCAGTACCAGTCCAGGGACCAGGGATTGGGGACCCCTGCTTTAGAGTATAGAGTATCATTAAATCACTACTGCTGTTGCATCATTGCAAGTTACTTATAGCAAAACATAACACAAATAATGAAAATCCTTTTAAAATCTAGAAAGCAATGGTAATCATTGTACAACTGTCACGTATCAATAAAAAAGAAAACAAAGACATGCTGACATTTGCTTAAAGCTACTTACACAAGTGAAACTATGTCTCCACGTTGTACTTTGTAATTCCGAATACTCCAATGATTTAAAAGCACTATATCAGATACTTGCTGTTCCACTGGATTCAGTGAAGGCTGGGGGGATTAAAAAGGGACAGGTTTTAGCATTCACAAACAGAACAACCAAATCAACACTTTCATTAATACACATTGGATGGGGAAAAAAGTGGTTGAGAGATTTGCAAAGCATTAAGCTGGGGAAAGCTGTACACAAAATCATTAAAAGGACTGAAGTGTATCACGTGGGACATGCTATCTACTTGTAACCATGCCACTTTGCCTAAGTTGTGCATGTAAACAGAGGCTGAAAATGTAAGGAAAATGATACATGAATATTAGAGCATTGTAGAATATTCTACAATAGTTGTGGATATCCAGGCTGCTCACCTGATCTTTACAGTTAATATGCTGAAAAGACAGTTTTGAAGTAGCTCAGGGAAAATTACCAAAGAACTATTAGAATTACAAATGCACTTCACTTATAATAAGTCTAATGTCGACACTCTTTCTAAGTGATGGCAAATAGCATTGCTCACATTTATGAAGTAAAGATATAGAATCATAGAAGCGGAAATTCAATGAGATGGGGCGTTGTCTTACCTGAACGCCTTTTCTCAGCATGATGATGGAGAATCCATGAGTGGGTTGTCTTAATCCTCCTGCTCAAATTACACTAAGTTTGGAAAGTTGCCACGCCTCCTGCTGGGCTAGAGCACCCCAGTTTACAACGAAGGCGAGGCCCAGACTATAGTCCGCCGCAAAGGCTCCTCCTATACTGGGCACAGGACCAGACGGACACTAAAGGGAGGGTCTGGATTCTCCATCATTATGCTGAGAAAAGGCATTCAGGTAAGATAACGCCCCTTCTCCAGCATAATGGATGGAGAATCCACGAGTGGGACATACCAAAGCCCTGTTGTCCCTAAGGGGGGGAAGTAGTCTGGGCCTGTGTCCCACTGGCTGATACCACTTGCTGTAATACCCTCCGTCCAAACGAGGCATCCAAGGAGGCAAATTTGTCAATTTTGTAATGTTTGACAAACGAGGAAGGTGAGGACCAAGTCGCCGCTCTGCAGATCTCCCCGATAGGTGCTTGGGTTACCCAAGCTGCCGATGTAGCAGCACTGTGGGTGGAATGGGCAGTGATGCGACCAGGAATGGGCAATGACTGTGACCGGTATGCCTGGGCAATGCAGGCCCTAATCCACCTGCCTATGGTCGAGGAGAAAACCTTCTGACCCATGGAAGAGGGTTGAAAGGAAACAAACAGTGCCTCGGATTTACAAAAGGCGGAAGTCCGTTTGATATAATGTCGCAGGGCCCTGCGAACGTCCAGGGAATGCCATCGTTTTTCTAGTTCGTGAGATGGGCTAGGGCAGAAATTAGGAAGCACCACCTCCTGGGACCTATGCTACAAGGAATTAACCTTGGGGACAAAGGAAGGATCCAGACAAAGGGTCACCCTGTCTGCATGGAAAACGCACAGGTCCTCTCTGACAGAGAGGGCAGCCAGCTCTGAAATTCGCCTGGCTGACGTGACCGCTACGAGGAAAGCCAACTTCATAGACAGCAGCCTCAGCGTGCATGTTTTAATGGGTTCAAACGGTGGTGAGGTTGAAGAGGGGGGGCCGGGTGGAGGCCGTGAACAGAACGCTGCCCTTCTGACGCCTGTGTGCCTTCTCTCTCTCCTTATCTCTTTTTCTCTGCATTACCATGGCAATGTGGGAAACTACCCAGGCTAATGCAATGACCTTG